GGAGCTTAGCTAGCTTAGCTGCTGTTAGGTTTTTAGTGTAATTTTAACACGGCAACTCTACGAGTGATCGATGAATAAAATTAAAATATGTGCTTGTGTTTTTTGATCAATTCTCGGGTGGTTGCAAATCCAGACGTTCAGTCTGATTTGAGATTCTTGATCTCCTCTTTTTTCAGTTACTGCAGTGCAGAGTACACTACTATTTTATTTAGGCTTGCAGAGTACACTACACTACAATTGTGAAGAGGAAAAAAAACCGTTCTAAACAGGCCTTGGAGCAGAGGAAGCTTTCACAAAGCCCATTAGACACTAGCCGTTGCTGGACCAGTTGTGGCTTGTGACGGCGCTCTCCTGCTCTCCGAGCGACCGGTCATGGCGGGGAGTGGGAAGAGGAGGCGCGCGACGGTGCTCGACGACGACGAGCGGCGGGGCCGGCGGAGGCTGGAGGAGGCGGCCCTGCTCCTCCACAAGATCAAAGGTGCAGATCCCCCTTCCCTCTCCTCGATCGACTGTAAACCCTCGTACTCCCCTTCGAATTGGGGTTGCAATCGGAGTTAACGCGGGTTCGCGCCGCCGCGCGCGTGGGCTGTCGGAGCAGGGCTGGTGGGCTGGGTGGTCGCGGAGATCAGCGCCGGCCGATCCCCTTCCCTGGCGCTCCACCGCTACCAGAACTACTGCGCCTGCGCCTCCGCCGCCGCCGCGGCGTCCCCGTCCACATGGTTTGGCTCCCTCTTCCCCACTCTCTCGCCTTCAAAATCTCTGCCGACCAAGCCTGTCAGATCCTCACCGGCGTGTGCGCGTTCGCGGGGTGCGGGCGCGCGTGCAGCGCCTGCAGCTACGACGCCCCCGTCGGCACGGACGTCCTCTCCCTCCTCCGCAAGGAATTCCACGCCTCCCGCCTCAGTACGGATTCGCGTACCCCAAACTGGCTCGGTTCTCATCGATCTCTCGTTGTTTCTGATCATGCTAATCAGTTTGGGATGCGTCGTTGATGTGCAGATGTGCTTCTCAGGGTCCTGCTCGTGGTGCAGCAGCTCCTGCAGGAGAATAAGCACTGCTCCAAGAGGGACATCTACTACATGTACCCCTCCATGTTCGTAGGTCTGTGCTGCTCTGCGGTTGCGATGCCTGATCCATCTATGCGTAGTGTGAGTTTCAGGTGTTCTGTTTCTTTGCTGTGTGAGTGACAATTACAAGTCTCACTGCAGAACAAGCGATTGTTGATCGTGCGATCAACGATATCTGCATACTCTTCAAGTGCAGCCGGCATAATCTCAACGTGGTATGTGCTACCGCTTGTCTGCCGTCTTTGCAGAAGCTTCAGTTATGTGTTTAGAAGTCATTTGTGCATTGGAGAATAAGCCTCTGGCTGTTATTTCATTATGGTGTAGTGGTGTACACAATGTGCCACACTGCCACTTGTTACTCCCTGGTTGTTCTCTGTCCTATCTGATGTAGGAGCATTTTCTTAATCTGTCTTTTGTGATGCATTATTCATTGAGGTCCTCATTTCTTCATGAATCGTCAGGAGCTGTTTTCATTAGTTCTCTCAGCAGTTCTGCTGCATTTATTTCATCGCCTTTTCACTTCGCTTTTAGTAACCATCTACAATTTCTGCTCACTTGGCTGCTTGCAGGTTCCTGTGGCAAAAGGGTATGGATTCCTATTGCGTTGTGAGTGTTTAATTTTGATAACATGTTTAATCCTTCGATGCTGTTACTTAACTAATCAGCATTTTTGTTCCTTCATCCTCCCTACCGCTTGTCCTGCTTTACTTAAAAAATGATCTGGGTGTAAACAGTGGGATGCTGCTCTTTTAGCAGAGATTTAGAGCATCACAATCTCCTATGTCCATACAATGGTCTTAGTTATTTCCGAACATTTTCCCGCTGTGTACTCGTCATGTCTTTATTGTTCCAGTTTGGTGATGGGCTGGATAAGATTTGTGGAGGGTGAAAAGAAAGTGTACTGCATAACAAACGTCAATACTGTAAGCTTCTATGATTCCATCTAATCACCCAGTATGATATGTTTCTAGTATGCATTAATTTTGCTAGCCTTTTTCCTTCTTCAAATGCAGGCTTTCCCCATTCCAGTTAGCATTGAAGCAATCAAAGGTTGTTTAACAATTTGAAAACTCATAACAATCTTTGTCTTCATAGTTTTTTATTATTTCATATCTGTTTCCTTAGGAAAAACAGTTTTATAAATCGTGATGTACACAATTAGCTTATATCTCTTAGCAAGTCAATGTTCAGTTTAAATTTGTAATAGATAGTGATTGATGTATTAGAAAGTGGGATTTCGACAAACAACCAAATTTTGGACAGCATGTGAAAGAGTAATGAGGATTCATCTTTATTTTTTGTCTCAAACAAATATGGAGAAGAGTATCCTTGTTATTCCACAAACTGTATGGCATAGGTTTGCTGTCTTGTTATATGTACACTATATTTCTTTCATATTCTCAATTACTATGCAGTAAACTTAAGCTGTCTAAGTTTTTTCTTGCAGATGTTGTTAGTGTTGCTCACTACATCCTTGTTGTTGAGAAGGAGGCAGGTGTGAGGATGAAAGGCCCCCTGTCTGCATATGATTTTTCTATTCTTTGCAGTCTTCCTACAGTTTTCTTCTGTATGCCATTTGCAGTATTCCAGCGTTTGGCCAATGACAAGTTCTGCGAAAAGAATCGCTGCATTGTTATTACAGTAACTGCTAACGCTGCATCTAGTGTTATACTGCCATTATTTTTCACATAGCATGTTTGATGGTTTTCTTCTGTTTACTCAGGGAAGAGGCTACCCAGATATTCCAACAAGAAGGCATGTGCTCTTTCATATATTTGTTTCTCTTGTATATTAGAACTGAATTGCTATTTGAAATGTACATTCCTTGTAATGTTGCAGATTCTTGCGCTACCTTGTCGAACAGCTGCACTTGCCTGCTTATTGCTTAGTGGATTCAGATCCGTATGGTTTTGATATTCTGGCCACCTATAAATTTGGTTCCATGGTAGGGCCAAAAATCTTATTTATTGAAGTCCTAATAGCATCAAAGGCAGTGTAAAATTATCAGTGCAATTTCAAATTTTTTGTTAAGCCAAGTGAAGTGTGATTTTGTACATCTATTCAAAATTTAGTCCCATTTTGTTGATATGTTTCTAGTGTTAACTGACCAACTCTTCCTGCTTCCTTGTCCAATTCTCATTCTATTTAAGCAATTGGCATATGATGCAAATATTCTGCGTGTGCCTGAGATACGATGGCTTGGGGTCTTCACATCTGACTTTGAGGAGTATTGTCTTCCAGACTGCTGTCAACTTCAATTGTCATCTGAAGGTCACTAAATTGGAGGGATATAAATTTCATTTCTACTTCTTATCTCAGAACTTGATTTGTTGTTAAATATCAAATGTGATGTATCCTGCTTCAGATAGGAGGAAGCTTGAAGGAATTCTCACCAGATGTTACTTGCACAAGGAAGCCCCAGAATGGAGGTAAAGGAACAGGAAGTTGTATTTCCTATTACGCGTATTCCAATAACTTTGTAGCTATGATGTGGGTTGCAAGAATAGTTCAAGTGCATCTAGAATTAAATAGAAGTTTTCACAATATCTTTCTTACAAAATGGCAAATGCAACAGTTAAACTCAGTGATGTAAGTGAAATCTTCTTCCAAGCACAAGGATCAATCCTATTATTTAGCCCCTGTATTCCAAGCACTTCAGGGATATGATGTGGGTTGCAAATAATAATAGTTCAAGTCCAACTCTAGAATTTGTAATTTGATTTGTTTAATCAACTAGTAGTTAAATAGAGCTTTTCATGTTTTATTCTTACAAAATGCCAAATGCAACAACAAAACTCACTGATATGAGTGAAATCGTCTTCCAGTACAATTATCAGTCTTATGAGTTTATCCCGTGTACGTAATCTGTAAGTGCTTTCAGCATCAGTTCCTTAGTTTCAAAAACTCCATATCTGCGTCACCTTGCCGACTCTAATGGCAGTAGGTGCTCCACTGTTCCAAAAGGTTTATGACTGCTTTCACCTGGTCAGTTCTAAAGTCAACGGGTTTGTGTTTAAAATTAGAATCATTTGTGTAGTTAATAGCCGGTTCTTTTTCCTGAAGATTTTTCTTCCTGAAATATTCATGACTATATAATCCTTGGCAGGTTGAAGTTGGAAGCCATGCTGGAAATGGGTGTCAAGTTTGAGATTGAAGCATTGTCAGCAAGTTCCATTTCGTTTCTGTCGCAGGAGTACATCCCCCAACAGATCAGACTAGGGAGGTACATATAGGATTGCATAGACCTGTATCTATGCAGAATTGTGCTAGGCTAAGTGTCTCCTTTTGTTTTGGTCACACCACTTGTAGTTGCTTGTCTGATCAAACAATCACCTTGGTATTCACAACAAGAATTTGACTGCAATTGGTGTATACCGTCAGTTACTGCATTGCTACTCATAATGCTTCTTGTTGTGCATAGATTAGTTTGGGTTTATTATGTTAATGTGCAAGGCAACCTGTTAGAAATGAATGCCTGAATAGGGAACTCTGGATGTCCTCTTAGTTCTACTAGGTCACCATCCCATGGAAGCAAGTTCCTATTTACCTGAGATCTTAGCCTCCACTTGCCGAGCATCATTAGATAGATTGTTGCTTGCCTTGCAATTCTGGAGCCAGAAACAACAATCCAAGAAAAAAAAATGCATCTACACAGGCTACCATAGTGGAAGCTGGAAATATTTCATGGCTGGAAAATAGTTTAACAAACTTCATGTACACAGGTACGTAAGCTTAGCGAAGCATCACCAAATACTTCTTTCTTACACATGTCCAGGCGCATATGAGCATATCCATTGTGTTAAATACATGTAGGAGCTCAACAAGGTCGTATCTTTTGACACTTTACTAGATTACAGAATTAATTAACAGTGTTAATCGACCATTCAACTAAAGTATTTAAGCTGTAAGATTAAGTACAGGCCCATATGTTCGTCACTGACCGGATTGTGCCTGAGTAAGGTCATATGTGGAGAGTGTGCCGGACTGGTCAACGTCGAGTTTGTCAAACTCCTCTAGAAAAGAAGATATGTCCTCTTGGCTGATCTTCCCCAGTTCTTTGAGCTTGTACACGACAAATTCAGCAGCACTGCACATATCAAAGTTCACAAATCAACACTCATTACCTACAAAATCTTAGGATATGATGGAGGGAAGAATACTGAAAACGCATTATGTGCTTACCCCACTTTCCGATCATTATCCAGATCAGCTGCTTCAAGATCCATGGTTGTTACTCTCCGTGTGAGAACCCATTTGGCCAGCATCTTTTGCCGTCGCTCGGTGTAGATCTCGGCGAGGTACATGAAGAAGAGCGCCAGAATTATGGTGCTTGTAATTATCCAAAACACCGCGAAAGTGCGCCCCAGTTGGGACGAGAAGCTTTTATCCCCATAACCCAAGGTAGTGATTGTGGCACAGACACAATAAAAGGAGTCAACAAGGCTCAGCTTCTCAACCTTCCAGAGAAAAACAGTCCCCACAACAATGGCCGTCACAAGAAGCAGAGCGGCCGTGTAGAACTTGTACTTTGTCTTGTTTGTCTCAATTTGTCTGAGCATTCTGGCCTCGCCACACTTCATATTCATGTGCAGTGCCTTGAAGAACAACACCTCCTGCTTCTCGACGAGATAGTCTGCCGACTTGCTCACGAAGAGAGCAATAATCGCCATGCCGGTGAAGACGAAAACACAAGCGAGCAGCTTTGTCGTGTCGCTGTTAGGAACAAGGTCTCCATAGCCCACCGATGTCATCGTGACAATGCAGAAGTACAGTGCGTCGAGCACTCTGTTGGTTCTCTTGCCAGATAACTGATCCATGACAAGGTAAAAGACTACGACGCCAACTAGCAGGTAGAGAAATAGGAGGAACCCTACTAGTCTGAAGCTGGGCCGTACCACGCTGAACAACTCCTTGGCTGGAAGCGACGAGCCATTTTCTTGTGGTTTTTCATCGGTCTCTGATCTGGGAGCCGACCTGCATCTTCGGAACCGCTTGGCTCCTTGCGACGGCTTTCTTTGGAGCACATTGGCATCGGGGTTCTCAGGTAGCAATGCTCGCTGAATGCTGTTGTCAGACATTGGCTTATGCTGGATTTGTTGTGAATTGCCGTCGCAATTGAAGCCCTATGATTCAGAGAATGGCACACGTTAGAGTATGGTTTTACAGATATGCGAGGAAGAAGTTTAGAAGCTCATTAAATATCAGGTAAAAAATAAGGCAAGACCGTGGATATGCACTGAATTGCATGAACCACCGAGAAACTCTATTCCTCTCAGCTTGTGTGAATTATACGTGTCCTAGCTGACACAAGAATTTCCTATCACCATCAGTTTAAGCATTAAATTATTGGACTGCAGGTCAAAGAGAGGCAGGCAAAATAAGTTTGGTCAAAAATAAGGGCCAATTCCTGGCTGTTATCTTGAATTCCTGATCTTTTTGACTTTCTGGGCCTCTAGGCACAGGAATTTTCCTCTTATCTTATCTAGGAGTACAGTATAGAAAACAAGTTACCTACTCTGTCGCTTTCTTTCTGGACAAAGTCGCACTGCTACTGGTTCAGATCGGATCTCTACTGCTAGCTTAATCTGCAACCCAAGGGATGAAACTGAGAGCCAAATGCTGGAAACCAACCTTGGGTTGAGATGGATTGTAAAAGAGGAGAGTAGGACGAGCAGGGGAAGCATTCCACTCTGCTACTAGCATACAGCAGGGCCATCTGCTTCTACTTGTGATGCAGCTACAGAATTCGGAAGGCAATTCTGGCAGCTCCGGCCAATCGCACGAAGCAAGCAGAGAACGGAGCACGGTTGAGAAGACGCAGAGATCATCCCTTACCTCCCTCCGGCTCCGGCCGACGGAAGCTGGGCGGAGCTTTTCTGGGTTTGAGGGCGCCTTCTTCCTTTTCTCCTTCCCTCGAGCTCTCCTGCTCTGCTCAGCTGATCTCCTCCCTCTCCGCGTTGCCTCCCTTTTTGTCGGCCCGAGCTGAGGGGCGGAGATGGAGACGCACGCACGCGCCACGCCGGATCTATCTCTACGTGTTGGTGCCGCGTGGGTTGAGCTGTGGAGGTCGCCCTGTTTTGACGTGGCCGGCCCCACCCTGCCGGCGCAAGTTGGAACCCTTCGCCTCGCCGTTTTTGACCTTCCGGCTCCGGAGGGGGCGCGAATCGACGTGGCGGGCTCAGGTCGGTTGGCCGCACCGCCGGTGCACGCAGGCAAAGTCCAGCAGGGCTGCTGCTCCCGTTCTCAGATCAAGATCCAACGAAAACACGAGCGTCGAGCGGTGGTGTCGCCGCAGGGTGATCCGAGCTCGGGTTGTGTCGCCGCCGCCGCGGCGGATCAGGCGATCTTTTTTTTTCCTATTCAAGTACGTAGTAGAAAAATGTGTCGGCAGGCGTGTTAGCTGAATGAAATGCAACTGCGCAAGGAGGTGGTGCGGGCGTACGGCACGAACTAGAGAATCGGGATAACGTAGGGCCCAAATGTCACTCTCTCCTCGTGCCTTACCTGAAAGCTCCAACCTCCGCCATCAAGAACGATGTCCCTAGCTTGCTTTGCGATGTGGTGTGGGTAAGCATTTAAAGATGCCAATGGGTTGGGTTTTGCTATGGGCTGTGTGGTCTTCGCCGCATGTGTCGTCGCCCTTTGGCAAAGCTCGGAATGACAGGATCTTCAACGCCAAGATATGGTCAACAGGAGCACTTCGCGAGCATACGGCGCAATTTTTGCTGCTATGGAGCAACCCTGCAAGACGACATCAAGATAGAGTATTGCTGAAAGTGTGGGCGCCGGGATTTTTTGTTGTTGACGAAAAGCAATGAGCGTTGCATTTCATTCATATGGAGTTACAGCTAGTTCATCTTCGCCAAGGAAATGAAAGACAACAACAAACAACAAAAGCAGTAGCAGCAACTCAGCTTCAAAGATCATGTTGGTTCAAGCAACCGGAGTAGGTCTTCGACATCCATCGCCATCTAACCAAGCAAGATGACACATTTAGCATTGGTCGTCTGGTTGCCACGCGACAACACCCCTCAAAAAGAGAGTTGGTTGTCGCATGGAAATGAAGTGATCTGAGGAGGATCGAACTCGCTAACCCCGCTTCAGATGAACACCTCAACCAAACCTCCACTTCATCGAGCACCACGACCACCTACACCTATCATTGGTCCATCCGGGTGGTAAGAAGCTCTTGGAACGATGCCACAAGAGGTGCGACGCATGTCGCCATCATCGTTTGATCCCAAGGGAATCTAGGGTTTCCCCCAAAACTTTCTCGTGCAGTGGAGTGAGCAGAAAGCGTCAACAACGCCTTCCATAAGGATGCGGAGCCCACATGTGTCACCCTCGCCTGCCCCGACCCATGATGGGGCAGCAAGGCCTTCACCCGACGATGCACCGCCCACCCACCTGCCCCAGCCAGACCACCACCGCAACCACACGCCTGGCGACTGCCGGCCCCACGCGCCAACTTTGCCGCAGCCACCTTCCGATCTGGGCGCCAGAACCCAGATCTCCATAGTCACCACCAGCCCCGTACTCGGTAACCACCGGCCCCATGCATCCGACGGTCATCATAGCCACCAACAGATCTGGACGCCGGGCCCCTGATCTGTCACGCACCGCCCCCCGGAGCCCTTCATGTTGGAAATATACCCTAGAGGCAATACTATTGTATTATTGTATTTCCATATTCATAATTAAGAGTTTATATTCTATGATATAACTGCTATGATCCTGGAATGTATGATTCAGTGAAAAACTCATACGCACGTGTGGAATGATAAACGGCAAAATAATATTCCTAGTCTCGCCTCTAAGATTGGCTCAAATGTTGTCGGTGATCATGTTTTTCGGATCTTAGGACATCGTCAAGTGTAACGATAGTCCTAAAACAACATTGAGAGTATGATGTTAGAAAAACGATCATATTGAATCTACTCAAATTTGTTTGTTATACTTTGAGATAATATCGCCTGAAATCAATTGTTATAACACAGATTGTTAATGTGTGTTTTAGTTCCTTAGACCATGAGAGTATCATAGTCACGTCTTACCATACGGTTGACTATGGGGTTGCTTAAACGTCATCTATAACACGGTGATTATAACAACAACTTACAGGTTCATCAGAAAGTTTGACAAGGGACTAGATAGCTCGAGAGTGGAATTTGCTCCTCCGACGATGGGGATATATTCTTACGGCCCTCTCGTTGTGACATCATCCATCATCATCTAGCCAGACACAGGTGACTATGTCACGGGGATGCCGGAACATGTCAACGAGAAAGAAGAACAAAACCGGTAACGAGGTATAGTGAGCATGTGTATGACTCAAGAGGATACCAATACATCTCACCTCAGTTTTCGTAAAGTATCGCGAAGCAAAGGGAATAGCACATGACAACCAAAGGTTCACTTGAATGTCATTCGTGTAATCATAAGGATCGTTGTGGACGTCCACGGTTCCTCTATCGGTCATTGAACAAACGGGTTTTGTTCATGCCTATGATTTACCGAACCTACAGGGTCACAAGCTTAAGGTAATCACAATCTGCTGAGTGTTAGTAGGACGGGAGTAATGATAAAATATTTGTGAAATAGTTTCGTTAATATTCGAAATAGTTTCTAGAGGAACTGAAAGCGTTCCGGGGTCACCAAAAGGGTCTCCGAGTTTATCGGGCAATACCAGGTATTACCGATAAATAATATATAGGTGGAAAATGTTTCCGAAGATGTTAAATTAATAATAAAAGGCTTTAACAATAGTTAGGAGGCTTTTATATTTAATCAAATATCAATGGGCCTTAAATGGCCAAGATGTGGAAGGAGTATTGGGCCAAGTACCTCAGAAGGACAAAGGACATGCTCCTTGTCTATAAGGATATGAAGAGCCCGTTGTAAATGGTTACACAAACACCAGCTTCATACTGATATAAGTGATTATCGGGCTATATTAGGATATTTGTTTGGAATAGTTTTCAAACATGAACACTATTCTGGATTTTATAGCGAAAGAAGAATAAATTGAAAAGCTTCAGATACTTCAAAGGAGGATGTCTGGATCAAGAGGTCTCTTGATATAGTTGGTGTGATTCTATGTGCAATGAAACCAATGACATTGTATTGTGAATAGTAGTGCCATTGATCAAAGAAAGATGAATCTAGATCCCATGTATAGATCAGACACAACAAAGTGCAATGTTTACATGCATTTGAATAAGTCAGACCCGATGACAAAGGCTCTACCACAAGCATAGCATGAGCAACACCTGATAGCCATAGGTGTTAGAGAAACTATGCAAACAGGAAACTGACTCTAGTGCAAGTGTCACACTGTTCGAAATATGCCCTAAAGGCAATAATATTATATTATTATATTTGTTCATAATTAAGAGTTTCTATTTTATGCTATAACTGCCATGATCCTGGAATGTGCGATTCAGTGGAAAACTCGTATGCATGTGTGGAATGATAATTGGCAAAAATAAGATTACTAGTCTCGCCTCTAAGACTGGCTCAAATGTTGTTGGCGATCATGTTTTCTGGATCTTAGGATATCGTTAAGTGTAAGGATAGTGCTAAAGTATCATTGAGAGTATGACGTTAGAAGAACGATCATATTGAATCGACCCAAACTTGTTTGTTATACTTTGAGATAATATCATCTGAAATCAACTGTTATAACACAGAGTGTTAACGTGTGTTTTAGTTCGTTAGACCATGAGAGTATCATGGTCAATTTTTACTGTACAATGTACTTTGAGGTTGCTCAAACGTCATCTATAACACGGTAATCACAACGACAACTTACAGGTTCATAGGAAAGTTTGACAAAGGACTAGATAGCTCGAGAGTGGAATTTACTCCTCCAATGATGGGGAGATATTCTTAGGGCCCTCTCGGTGTGACAACATCCATCATCGTCTGGCCAGACACATGTGCCTATGTCACAAGGATGCTAGAACATGTCAACGAGAAAGAAGAACAAAACCGGCAACGAGGAGACTAGTATAGTAAGCATGTGTATGACTCAAGAGGATACCGATCCATCTCACCTCAGGTTTTGTGAAGTATAGCATATGAAAACCAAAGGTTCACTCGAATGTCATTTGTGTAATCATAGGGACCGACATGGACGTCACGGTTCCGTTATCGGTCATTGAACAAAGGGTTTTTGTTCATGTCTATGATTTATCAAACATACAGGGTCACAAGCTTAAGGTAATCACGATCGGCTGAGTGTTAGTAGGATGGGAGTAACAAGGAAATATTTGTGAAATAGTTTCGTTGATATTCGAAATAGTTTCGAGAGGAACCGAAAGTGTTTCAGGGTCACCGAAAGGGTTTTGGAGTTGTAGGGCAATACCAGGTATTAACAATAAGTAATATATATGTGAAAAATGTTTCTAGAGATGTTAAATTAATGATAAAAGTATATAATAATAGTTAGGAGACTTTTATATTTAATTAAATATCAACGGGCCTTAAAAGACAAAGAGGTGGAAGGAGTATTGGGCTACAAGGGCCCAATAGTGGTGGCGCCCCCGTCGGTGGAGGAGTCCCCCTTCCCTTGGAGAGGGAGGCCGAATTGGTGGAGGAGTCCCCCTCCCCTTGGCCTGCCAAGGGAGGGAGACTTTCACTCCCCTTGTGGCGTCCCCTCCTCCTCCTCC